GGTGATGGACAGGGAAGCCTGGCATGCTGCAGTTCATGGGGTCACAGAGTCAGACACGACTGAGCGACTGAACTGAACCCAACAGAGTAATCAAAATAAGAATTTAAGAATGGTCCAAACTCATCAAATTGTACATATTAAATGTATATAGTTATTTATATATCAACTATACTTCAATATAGGTGTTAAAAAATACAATAGGAAAGTTGTTGCACGAAAGAATTAGGGAGTGAACATCAGATCAAACAGTACAAATATGATCAACCAGGACAACATAAAAATAAGACTCCCTTCATCTTCCATGGGGGAGAATCAATGTATAACATTTGATAAAGAAATAGAGGTATAAGATGTATAAAAGTTGCTATTAGATGAACCAGCAACAGATAGTAAACATTTCCAAACTCATAGGAAGGGTGACAAAAAATACTAAAAACAAACAAACAAAAAAAATTACTAAAAACAGGCTGTAAAGTATAATTCTATCTTATAAATCTTAAGGAGAACAAAGATGTTCATGTATTTTTTATAAAAATATGAAAATATCTTAAAAAATTATATAGGGGTTATGGTGGCCACTTCTCCAAAGTGGGACTGAGAAAGTGGGGGGTTAGGTTTACATTTTGACATATGTTACTTTTGGTAATGAAATTTTGTCTAATGAATAGTGAATTTAAAGTCAGAAAACTACCTCTGTTACTCGCTGTAAAATTGGATCATTTTCATTTCTCCCACCGTTGATTTATCTAAAAGATGCTTGTCATATCCACATAAATGGTTTCATGTTATTACTCATGTTTATATGCCCCAGAGTAGTAAGAACACACAATACACATTTGCTAGGTTGAATCACAGATTATGTTTCAAGTTTGTAAAAAAAATTAATTTCATTTCTATTCCAAAAAAAATTAAAAGAATTTTATAGCCTAACTGCTAGCCAACCTTTAGAAATGCTAAAATGTTACAAAGGCCAACTGAGATGCCAAAATTTATCTTACTTGTAAGAGGCACATAAACATTTATTTCTTGCTATCATAGTAAATATGTGTTCAGATCATTTTTAAAAACAGGAAAAAAAGCAAAACCCTTCATTTTACTTCCTTCCTAAAAACTGGAGGACACTAAATCCATATCCTAAATTTATATTTAGATCTGTGGGACAAATCTGCTTTGCTTGATGAATACTTTTAAGTCAGTTCTTATCTCAAATTCTGTAAAAACTTAGCCACCTGAAATTAGATTCTTTCTCACCTGATTTTTAGAAAAATTAAAAGCTCTATTCTTGGTCATAATTTAAATAGTCATCCTGATTATGAGGGTGATAAGCAAGACTTGCAGTCAGCTCTCACAAGTTATTTAGAAGGAAAGAATCTTCTACCTAAGGAAATAAAAATCTATCTAAAGAAAAGACAGAAACAAGAATGATAGTGGAAACTATATGTTCAAACATGGAAGAATGGTTGAAAAACTGGTGTATAAACAGCAGAGTACTATCCAGCTATTGGGGTGGGGGAAGAAGAGGATTTCTATGAACTGACATGAGTGAGTTCCAGGAGACACTGTTAAGTGAATAAAAGTTAAAATGCAAAAGAGATCATACAGTATGCTACCTTTTAACTATGAAAGAAGGGAGAAACAAGAAAACATATATAATAAAGATGGCAAGCAGGTGCAATGTAAAACACAGAAACAGGAAAAACTATTAACAGAACAGATGTACCCAACTGTATTTCAAATGGAACACAAAACAAAATGAATCTACGTAACTTACACACTATTTCATTATATATTCTTAGTCTTCAGTAGAACGGAGAGGGGAAGAACTACATTCAAACTCTGGACCCTTTCCAGGAGATTTTTCACTGGTATGAGCATAATAATAATTCCGAAACTATTTTAGAAGCATTACAGTCCTTTCAGAGGACAGCAGTAACGTCTGGAAATATTTTTGGTTGTGGCATCTAGTGGGCAAAAGCTAGGGATGTTGCTAAACAACCAAACATGTACAGGACAGCCCCCACAGCAAAGAATTACTCAACCCAAAATGTCAACTGTGCAAAGACTGAGAAACCTTAGCACAAATATGATCTAGGGAGTCTATATATGTGTTAATACATATATGTATTTCCTAGTTCTGTCTACTTAAAGGGCCCTGAAGCAAAGATATCCCTAGTAATGAGTACACTTAATGCCCATTATCTTGATCTCAAATACTACTTAGCTGGTAAAGAATCCACCTGCAATGCAGGAGACCTGGGTTCGATCCCTGGATTGGGAAGATCCCTTGCAGAAGGGAAAGGCTACCCACTCCAGTATTCTGGCCTGCAGAATTCCATGGCTGTATATACTCCATGGGGTCACAAAGAATTGGACACGACTGAGCGACTTTCACTAAGAAGAACCAGGGCTTCTTGGAGTAACAGCTGATTCGATGGTTAAGGCAAACCCTTGTTAAGGTAAACGAATTGTTGAGGTAAACAAATTGTTGAGGTAAACAATAAGCCTAGAACATCCTATTATCCTACAAAGTAAGGCAGTGCTTACAAAAAACGATAGGGGCACATAAAAGAGCAAACTGAAGAGGCTCCTACAGGAAATCTGTGACAATTCAAGCACTGAAATAGTACAAGAGTAATGAAAGATGAACAACTGTAAATTTAAGAACCCGTGAATTAATACCAATAATGAAAAGACACATACATAAAAGAGGGAAAAAGAAGGTGCACTGATTACAGTAAAATGCTGAGCGCTGACTAATAAATACAGAATGAGTAGCGGTGTTAGAAAATCATCACTTTACAACCACTGTAGTAAAGAATCATTCAGGCAAGAATCATCAATGGATGTTAAATCTAGGGGAGAAATAGCGATAGGAAGAAGAATGTCTGCATCATCTTAAAGTCTCTCTGCACTTATTTGCTGAAGAGGAAACAACAGTAACTATACAATGGAGACAACAGGCACTGAGACTGATGGAGCAAAGTTAACACCATCACTGGGGGCAGAGGGCACTATATGCACCTAGATATGATATTCTGACAGGAGGACAAAGTTATTTATGTAGTATTCCGTCCAAGAATGCATAGACTGGATCTAATTATGAGGAAAGAAACATAAAATGAGAAACACTCTATTTTGGGGAAAAAAAAAAAAAGACTTCCCTGTTGGTCCAACGGTTAAGACTCCATGCTCCCGACACAGGGGGCATGGGTCGATCCCTGGTCAGGGAACTAAGATGCCACATGCCACAGGATGCAGTCAAAAAAAAAAAAAAAAAAAAAATTAAAAGACTCACAAATAACAAATGCTGGCAAGGTTATGGAGAAAAGGGAACCCTCAAACACTGTTGGTGGGAATGTAAATTGGTACAGCCAATGTGGAAAATAGCATGGAGGTTTCTCAAAAAACTAAAAATAGAACTATCACATGACCCAGCAATTCCACTCCAAAAACACTAACTCAAAAAGACATATGCTCTCCAATGTTCATAGTAGCATTACTGACAACTGCCAAGGTATGGAAGCAACCTGTCTACCAACAGACGAATGGGTAAAGATGATGTGGTAGATATACAATGGAATAATACTCAGCCCAAAAAAGGAAAACCTTGCCATTTGCAGCAACATGGACAGACTTGGAGGGCACTACGCAGTCAGACAAATACTGTGTGATATCACTTATATGTGGAATCTGAAAAAATACAACAAACTAGTGAATGAAACAAACAAAAAAAAGGAAGTACACTCACACAGAGAATATGCCAGTGGTTGGTCATCAGTGGGGAGAGGCAAAAGGGGTTATCATGGAAGTATATGAAATTGTATGTGTGAAACATCTGAAAACTGTAAAGCACTACAGAATTTAAAGAATCTCTCATTCAACAAGGAAAATTTTAAAGACTACTCAAAAATATTAATACCATAAAAGACAAAGAAAGAATGAGGAAATGTTCCAGATTAAATGAGATTAAAGAGACATGACAACTAAATAAACCCAATCCTGGACTTCATGGTATATCAGAGAGAGGGAAAAAATGCTACAAATGATATTACTGGTCCAAGCAACAAAACTGAAGTACATTAAATAAAAAGTGACAGTGTTAAATTTTACTGAAGCTGCTAACTGTTTTATAGAAGAGTAAAGTTATTCTTAGGAACTGCACAATAAAGTATCTGGGGGCAAAGGTCCTTCTTGCATGCAATTTACTCTCAAATGGGTTTAAAAAACTACACATGGCTAGGCTGCAAATGATAGAGCAAATGGTAAAAAAAAAAAAAAAAAATAACAGGCGAATCTGGATAAAACATATAGTAAGTATTCTTTGTACTAATGCTACAACTTTTCTATAAATCTGAAATTATTTCCAAATGAATTTAAAACCCACAGGAAAATCCTAAAAAAACCTAGAATGTGAAGTTAAAATGTTCCCCCAATACTCCTCATCTATAAAAACAGAATGCTATAAAATATGGGATGCTTTAAGACACTATAAAATAGTAGTCACATAATTTCATGCTGTTTTCATTAATGCTCTTGCATTAACTATATTAGCCACTTCATAAAGTTCATATACAATAGCCACTGGATGATAAAAGACGAAAAACATAGTAAGACAAAAAGGAAAGGCATCAGCAGTGACAATAACATAAAAGATTTCATTTTTCTAATACATGGATCCCAGACAAAAAAAAAATTTGAAGTGCTTTGAAGCACCTACCTTCCTATTGAACATAAGATAGTTAAGACAAGGTTAGAATAAAACTTATCCCAAATAACTTACTTGTTTTCTCTGCTTCAAAAGTACACATGATAATGTCAAAAGGGTAAATAACACTATGTCAAAATAAGACCCAGTTCTAATAGACCAAATAGCCCAAACCAATATTTGAACAGTTTTAATTTAGAATACATTTCTCAAAGCTGTATTTTAAGCTACTACTTTGTCTTTTATGAGAGGATTTAATAAAAAAAAAAAAAAAACACAAAACAGAGAAACTTACAGTTCATCTCGTTGTCTCTGGGACAGCACCATTTTGGCTGTAATATCAAGCTTATTTGATATAGTGGTATGTCCCTCCTCTGGAAAATCAAAAAGCTTTGCAATCCCTGGATTTATAATTAAATAAGCCACTAAGTGGCTTCCACGCAGGGGAAAATGATTCTTTCACAAGTGAATCCAACGTGTAACCAGGAGATATTCAACAAGTAAGGTTCATTCCACCTAAGGAGAGAGAGAGAAAGATTATTTCTTTCACTTAGAATTTAAATTATTCTTAAATTATTACTTGCTGTATGCACTATCAAAGGTGAGGTTTACCATGATGGTAATATGAATACCAGGTGATGTTTTTTAACCTACTGTGAAAATCAATGCCAAAACAGTCATTTTATGCATTTTAAATGATCTTTAACAGTTAACTGAGCCAAAACAACACTATTCAATTTTATTGAATTTCAAATATTAACATATAACTTTTAGGGAAGAAAACACTTTTTCCTTAAGGACAAAAACAAATTTTCTAATTTACAAAAAGTATTACCTGAAAAAAGTAACAAATATAAGTATTGCACAAACTGCCCACAAGTCAAAGGTTCTAACCATAAATAAAGTAAATTCAAGATTTAATGTTAGCAACTAGTAATCTTACAATCACTGATATTACTTATAATGTAAATAAACTATTTAGCTAATCTAATGCCCTCTTAACCAATACATTTAATCAAGAAATAATTTAGCATTGTTCAATGCTTAAGAAGTATATATTTAAACTGAATGGAGTATATACTTCTTTGTACTCAAACAACCCAATTCTCTAATCTTGTTAATATTTCAGAGCCCTTTATACCTGCAACACATGATCGGTTCAATGAGAATAAATGTAGATAAAAGAAAAATCAAGAATTATTTCTTGAAGAATTATTCTTCAAATCTCCTCTATTTTTTAAAAGTCTAAGTACAATTTGTCTTAACACACTGTATAAATATAGCTAGACAAAACAATGTCCCTTCAACTAAAAATACGTAAATCTGGAAAAAAACATGGAAGGATCTCATTATCACACCAACTATTTACTATCAATCTTACTAACATAAAACATTAGAACAAGCATATGAAAACAAAAGTATGTGATATCCTGAAAAAAAAAAATAGCTAGACAGAATTTCCACTGTAATTGGGAAATATAGTTGACACGTGAACAAGACTGGTTTGAACTGCATGGGTCAACACACGTTTGAACACTTAAATTTTAGCCTCACTTTTCTAAGTCTTAATTGTCACACCAAGCCAAACCACCTAGGAACTCATATACTCCAACAAGAAGGTTGGTGACAATGTGAACTGTCTACAGATTTCTATTATCTGGGACAACAGTAACCCACTGACAGAGCATTAATCACATAAATCAAGAGTAAAAAAGAAGCAGCAAAAATGAAAAAACTCCACAATATATTTTTTTTAAACTCCACAATATTATGTACGTTACAAGGTTCAGTTTAACTATGGAGAGACTACCTCTAGACAAAAAAAGCAAATTAATGTACAAGAATTACAATAGTAAAAGAATACTAGCATGACCTAATCAGGATAAAACCAAGATATAAAGAAATCATTGAATATAATAGTGTACTGCACAAATTTATCCATTCAACATACACTAAACACAATGAACCAGGCATCATGTTTAATGAGGGAAAAGAAAAGACTTCTTGGTCTTTACACTGAAGAAGTTACAGTCTTCTGGAAGAGTCAGCCAAGCAGTTAAAACTGTGTTAAATGTGTGACAAGTATTTCCAAATAGCAGATGATGATGATTCAACATAAAGCTGAAGAGATAATAAGCAGAGGCTAGGCCAGAAAACAAGCTCTGGTCTTTACAATATATCCTAGGAATAATGGGGAGCCCCTCCTTTTTTTTAAAAGAAAAATCACTCTTTGTTTTTATAGTGAAGAAGGACCATAAAGACGGGAAAGGAAGAAACCAGATAAGATGTTTGCAGCAATGAAGATGGAGATCTACACTAGAATAGCAGCAGTAAAGAGAACTAGGAAGGCTGAGAGTAAAAGGTCAGTCAAGGAGTTAACTCAAAAAACTTCTAGGTTAGAAACAAGCTGAAATAAGTAGAACTATACGTGAAGGGATGAAGAAGTGTGAATCATTCCATCTTTAGATATGTCAGCTCTAAAAAGAACCAACCTAAGGGGGAATAAAAGATTTGTTACTTACCTGCTTAGAGATGGTATAATTAGACTAGAGCCAGGCAGAGCAACACCAACACTTAAAGAGTCTACAACAGAGGCTGATAGGAAGCAATTAAAGAGGTAAAAGTAAAAAGGAGAGGGAACATATCACAGGTCAATATGGGAATATTTCAAGAAGAGACAATCAACAGTACCCAAAGTTACCCAACTGTCAAGCAAAATACGGTATGAAATGGGTCTGTTTCACTTGTTACAGAGCTCACAGATAACCCTGCTGAGAATGATTTCAGTAAAATGGTTAAGAGCATGGTTCAGCACTGCAAACGGGCTGATGAGTACACAAAGATGAAGTAAAGATGGTTACCAAAAATATCTTAGAAACGGATGGAAATATTGAAAAGCAGTTTTTATGGACTGTTGTTTTTCTCAACCTAGCAAGATGCTTAAATGTTAATGGTGGAAGGAAAAAAAGACACAGGAGAAATAAAGGAATGAATAATTTTAGTATCACCATTTTCACCACCTAATTAACCAAAGGCAAACAAAGAAACAACCAGACATGATGTATCCCCTGACAGAATAACACCACACACCTATAAGGTATTCTCGTCACAAAATCAAATCTGAATCTGTTCAAGTCTCCGGCTCTAACTATCAATTACCAAGAAGCATAAAGGGCAGAAGAATATGTTAAAAACACCACAGGGATATAACCAGTAAAATCCAGACTTTGAAAAACCCTATAAAATAAATGACCCAGTTTCTTCAAATAAATTCCAAAGAAACTGAGAGAGAGAGAGAGCTGGAAAGGGAAACCTATAGGTTAAAGGAGATAACTGATATAACCACTGGACTACACTGACCTTACTTAGATCTAAATGTTTTTCTAAGTATAAAATAAACAATTTTTGTAAAACAAACCAATTAAACATTTGGGGATATGTGAACACTGACTGAATGTCTAATGATACTAAAGAATAACTGTGAGTGTTTCATGGGATAACAGTATTGTGATTATTTTTAAGTCATTTAAAAATATACAATGAAAATTTTATCAGTAGAATGATATGTCTGGGATTTGTTTAAAAAAATTTTGGAAGAGTGGATGGAGGGATATATATGAAAAAAATACTAGCTTTGAGTTGATAACTGTTGAAGCTGGGTAATAGGCACATGAATGGTAATTTTCTCTACTTTCGTTTATGGGTCTGAAGTTTTCCATATTTAAAAAAAAATCAGAATAGAGAAATACTCAATGGGAGGAGGAGGAAGAAAACGGAATGAGAGATCTAGATACAAAGATGACTTACCTCTTCTACTGTATTATGAAGGAGAAAAACATGAAATCTTTTTATTTCAAGAAAATAGGAAGTGAGGTCACTTGCTGGGTAGGGAGAGTGAAGAAGAAGGCATTAAGAGGCTTGAAACAGCTGCTATGAAGAAAGAGGGCAAAAAAAACACAACAGGAAGTACAGGATGGACATTTTTAAGATTGGAGACCAGGAACTTTTGGTGGTGACAATCTTACAAACATGTGACTTTTCTTTAGCAGTTGTCTGGCTACAGACACAGAAAAGTCACACATTTAGAGATCTAGGATTGGGTTAAAGGTTTACAGCGTATGTGTGATGAATGCATAATGAGGAGACTGGAAACAATGGATCAAAGAGCCTAAGCGCCACTGTGCAGAAAGCGAAAACTGAAAAGGCAAACAGAGCAGAGGGACCTAGAAAGCAGAGTTTGCTCCTTCCCAGGAGACCACTTGAAAGGGGGTATATCAGGGAGTGGGATGATTAAATTTGAAATGTCTCAATTTGCTAATTAAAATATATGCTATAATTTACTATAGGTTAATAATGTTTTCATTACAACAATTCATGATCAATCTATATTTATAACCAACAGTACAAATAAACTAGGCAGTATTTTCACACAACCTGGGAAGGAGTCCTAAATCTTTTGGGGAGTCACTAAATTCGTTTGACAATGTGATGAAGAGGCAAAACCTCTTCCCTCAAAAAAGCACATATGAAGATAAAATATTACTAATACATACATGGATTTTAAGGGGGTTCACAAATCCTTCCAAAGTCAACATAATGAGTGAAAAGACTCATCTTTTTTTTTTTGACTTATCATTTTTGAAATATATTTTGGCAGTACTCCAACAATCCCCTCTAAGCTACTTGTATATATCACAAACATATTTCAAAGAAGAGTTTGGTTTATCTATTAGCACGCATGTCAATATCCAGACATTCTTAGAGATCAGATCTGTGCTGCCTGAGTACTAGAAACAGAGGCCTCTTCAGTATGTTTTTTGGAATGCAGAATTCTTAAGCACTCTATACTCTAACACAACATACAGTTTTTTGATATACCAAAGCAACTCTCCTAGACAACATTGTTTATTATGGCTTAGGTAAGTACCTCACCACAGAAAGAAAAAGGGGAAAAGTAAAAAACGAAAACAGGAAATAGGGCATTAAAAAAAACTTAGTGACTGAATTACTAATTTAAATTCCTCACATTTTGTTTCAGTGTGTTAATAACATAGGTTTCGCACTTACCAAAACTTCTATAAAATACTATTTCATCAATAATCTATTCTGTACACTGTTTCTTGCTAAGTAAGAATTTATGAAACAGGGGGAAACAATATAGAATATAAAGGATGTACATGAGGGAAAACATAAACAGCCAATTACATGTTAACAGTAAAGGCGTACTGACATAAAGAATGCTGTCAGGTTTACTTAATATTAGATGTAGAAGAGTTTAAGAAATTCACCTAAGACTTTTACACTAAGGGATTACCAATGGTTCCTGG